CTAGCCTGAGTGACAGCAGAGGTCAGGGAGAGCTGTGACATCACTCACAGTTTCAGGGGCCCGACTGACGTCATGGCCTTTCCCTCCCGCTTTTTATCAGTTTATTTATCTCGAGGAGAGGATGAGAGAAAGATAGAGAGGCAGAGAGAAGAGGAGAGAGGTGTTTGTGATGAGAGAGGCTCGTCTTTATAAACACATCTTCATTGCCTTTTCTTGCTCAGTCCAAACACAGCCAGAGCACCACACCCAAGCACTCCATCGCCACAGAAACAGCTGACCTCTGACCTCCATCCTCACCTGTGCCAGCTCCTCTACCAAGCCTGAACTTCCTGTTTATGTGCATTTAACAGAAATGGCACAGAGAAGCAGGACAAATATTTGTAGTGGCAGGTAGGTGAGAAGTCTGTTAAAACATGCACATTCAATGGCACTGTCCTACAAAATAATGTAAAAAAATACTCAGTAGTTATTGAATGTTAAAATACTTTCTTCTATCATATCTTAATATGACAAGCCAAATACAAGTAAGCAATTCACAGGGTGATAATCCAAAATGTGTAAATACTGTGGCGCTATAAAAACATTGCTCTGTTTGTTTGAACACCCCAAACAGACCAACAACAGCAACACTGGCTTAACCAATGGTGTGAGTTTGGGGGTGATACCATCTGATTGGTGATTAATGAAGAAGAATGCCTTGCATTTTTGTAATTAAATAGAGGAACTAGCATAAACAATCACAACAAGACTACTGCACCAGGTTGAGGTCAATGACTTAACATAATCAGTTCTCAAGCCTTTTAACCAATCGGCATTGATGTTAAACTTGTTTGCATTAAACTCAAACTCAATGGATATTCAAAAGCGACAACCTGCCCCATTCCAAACATAATCTTGAAATTAATCCACCAAAAATGTATTTCTGTCAACCAATGACAGAAATTTGCTTAGAAAACTTAAATTTCAAAGTAGAATTTCTAATTTAATTTGGGAAAAACATGGCCTAGAAAAAAATACAAATAAAATGAAAGCACAGTCACTGCACATTAAGTATCTGATTAGTATCACATTAACTTCACGTTACCGTGATCTAAATATGTGAAACTGCACTACGCCCATTCCTGTTCTGGTGGCCTGAGTAAGACCTGATTACTGGAAGTGCAGGTTTTATGCACATTACTTCATTTATTTACCTGAAAGCCCTCTAGATAAAGCTGTAAAAACAAGGCCAAAAGCATTTTCATCTGTAAAGAAGAGAATATCTGAGATGGCTGCTCGCCAACGCGCATCATTACCCAGAATGCATTGTAGTGCAGCAATCCCAGTGTTTGGTTCCTGTGATTTCTGCCCAATGTAAACATGGAGGGAAGGTCATGCTCCACCCCTCCTTGTTTACAAATCACCCTCATTACCTCAGCAACACATCCAGCAGCACAAACAATGTTTAATATGACATGGCGTTTCAGCATCTCTGTCTTCAAACTAGACAAAGAGGCGTCCAGATGCATTTGATTTCATTTTTACAAGGGTTCTAAAGGGTTCCAGAACTCACATCCTCCTGCAAGCTTAGGCCGTCCAATGCCCCTCATCTAACCCCAAACACTCTCCAACGAAACCGACCCTTTCTTAACCTCCGACCCGAGTTCTGCATGACCTTGAGCATCCTCTGTACTAGCACAATATGCAATATGCAAATGGTGCGTCATGCTGGTATTAAGCCATCGGGCAATGTTTATGCTGTTTGGCTGAGTAGATAACAGTACTTCCTTTTTCTGACCTCCAGAAAGGTAAACAAGAATGATGGTTCTGGAATCGACTGGCGTAAAAGCAATGGTTATTTTTTCCCCATCCAAAAGATGAGCTGATAGTAGAACAGAAGATCCAAGAGGATCTTGGTGGTCGGGGCCAGGCAGGGCTCATGGAGGAGCAAGGGAGTGATGGAGAATGTGTTTACTCTGCCTGTTCTCTCTGTTTATGTATCTTCTATCTTAATGAACAATGTATTATTTCTCTCAGGAAGAGAATTTCAATGATGCTAAGGTCTATTTTATAGTCTATAAACACACTTAAGTCTCTGAAGTTGCAGTGCGGTGGGGGGGCACGGCAGACGTCGCTTGTGGTCTGACACTGCTCTAACCTGCTTTAAATCTCAAGCTTTATAGTAAACAGCTCTGGACATCTTTACAGGGCTTTCCACACACAATTTATTTTATTTACTTCAGTATATTTCTGCCAGAGAGGCCCTTGAGATTTCACAAAGCCTATCTGGTAACCAAGGAGGAACCAAACAACAGCACTGAATCACTCTGAAGCTATTGTGCTGTTTTGCTTGGGAAACGTCCAGTTTGGACAGAGAGTCAAGGGTCTTAAGAGTGCAACAGAGTTCAGGCGAGCCCAAATTAGTAAAATCTGAATTGCTTGGTAAATACTTTAGAATGAAAAATTAGAGACGGATGAAAGTAAAATTGCACTAATAAGGAATAGTTCGCCTCAAAATTAAAATATCCTGAAAATATACTCACCCTCAGTCCATCCAAGATGTAGATTAGTTTGTTTCTTAATCAGAACAGATTTGGAGAAATTAAGCATTTCATCACTTGCTCAGCAATGGATCTTCTGCAGTGAATGGGTGCCGTCAGAATGACTCCAGTCAATCAATTAACATCTTGTGAAGCAAAAACCTGCGTGTTTGTGAGAAACAAATCCATCATTAAGATGTTTTTAACTTCAAACTGTTGCTTCTGGCCAAAATATGAGCCCATAGTCCATAATAATGCTTTCTCCAGTGAAAAAGTTCATCCCCTGTTGTCCTCTCACATCAAAATCCACGAACACATTTGTTTAGAGCTGTTTTCAATTGTAAACCATGCTTGATCTCTGTATAGGCCTATTTCTCTCCTGATTCAGACGAGACAACTTTGGAGAAAACAATATTATGGATAGCTGATACATATTTTTTGCCAGAAACAGCGGTTTGAAGTTAAAAATGTCTTAATGGTGGATTACACAGCTTTTCACTTCACAAAATGTTAAATGATGAACTGGAGTTCTGTGGATTATATGTTTTTATCACCTGTTTGGACTCTCATTCTGACGGCACCCATTCACTGCAGATGATCCATTGATGAGCAAGTGATGCAATGCTAAATTCCTCTGTTTTCCTGTTTTTACTGTGCTTTGAAACAATTTGTATTGTATAAAACACTATAAAAATAAAGGTGACTTGATTCGACTGTCTTCCAGGGACATTACTGATAGTATCATATCATATAAATTAGGACTATTTATCTAAGGCTGGTACAGTGTATAATCCAGGTGTCATGAGTTCATTCACTAAAAGTGCTAAAGGTCCCTTCAGACAGCTGAAAACCCTCAGTTATATCCTTTTCTCCTACTCATGCCAGAATGGCTACTTCAATTCTGCTACTTCAAAACCGCTAACAATGCTTTCTGTCCAGATACGTCCACTTTGGACAAAAGCTGCTGACCCCCTTAAACCTGGACCTGAGACAGGACAAAATAAACACAGACATGGAAAGCTGTGAATAATATCTCGGAAAAAAGGGTGTCGGACACAATGCAGTGCTGGACGATACCATCAGACGCATGGAAAGATGTAGAAAGTATAAGAAGAGCAATTGTTTAAGTATTAAGTACTTATTTTGGATTAACTGGTTCAACATGTTCAGAGGTATTCACATTTGCTGGAGTGCAAACTCCTGCTTCTTTCATTTTCTTACAAAATGCGTTTCTCCTTGTCAATCACTCGATATTGTTCAACAACTTTAGGCACAAAAAAGTGTCAAACATTTAATAAAAGCATTGACAAATCTAGCATTTACTTCAGTGGACACATGAAATCATACTACACTTCAGACTGTGTAGTATGTCTGCACAGACTCAGCTTCATCTAGTGAACTCTCAACACAGTCTGCAAATGTTACGGTGTTTACAACAAAACCATATTTCATAGTATGTTATCCATATATTAAAGACAGCAGACTTTGTTTTTCTAGATTAATTATAATAAAAATCCCAGTGAGATGGAATTCATGTATCAAGATTATGACAGAAAATAAGCACAGTGAGTTAAAAAACACGATAAAACTCACCTGTGTCTTTGTAATGTTCTTGAACTCATAGCAGGTGAAATGGAAAGAGGACCTTTTGGATGAAGGCTGAGTTTGATACTGCCTGAATTAAAGAAAAAAACAGAGTAAATTGTATGTCTGCACAAAATGTGCTGATAAAACATGAAAGATTTTTTAAAAACGTGTTATAGAAATTACCTATTTGTTTTGTTATTTTTATTTTGGACAAAGTTTTTAAAGATTCATATTTGTTGTCTGTTTATTTTAATCTTCTAATTTAATACATTTGAATTCACGCGAAATATTGAGTTCTGGTGGAAATGCAGCTATTTTAAAAACTAATGGTAGGTAAAGTTTTGGGACATATTTGGTCCATGATTCAAGATTAAGAAAGGGGTATTTTAACACTCTGATTTCATTTATGTAAAAACGTGTTATAGAAATTACCTATTTGTTTTGTTATTTTTATTTTGGACAAAGTTTTTAAAGATTCATATTTGTTGTCTGTTTATTTTAATCTTCTAATTTAATACATTTGAATTCACGCGAAATATTGAGTTCTGGTGGAAATGCTGCTATTTTAAAAACTAATGGTAGGTAAAGTTTTGGGACATATTTGGCCCATGATTCAAGATTAAGAAAGGGGTATTTTAACACTCTGATTTCATTTATGAAATTCAATATCATGATCAAGTTTTAAAATATTCAAATTACACTGTTGTTATTGGAACATACTAAAATGTCTCGTACCAAAAGATGGCACTAGTAGGCTAGTCTGTCGTTTACGAAGGAAAACAGAAGCTAAACTTGGGTCGCTTAAACAGTTGGTGGCGGTATGTGCCTATGGTGCGGAATACGCCAAAAATTCCAAAGAAGAAGAAGAAGAAGAAGAACTTGGGTTGCTGTTCTTCTCCTATCCATGTGGAGGCGCTGTAGTGTGTTTGGACCCTATGGTTCGAACGGGCAGTTTCTCATCTCGCGCAGGAACTGAGGCATCCTTGACAACAATCGCCGGTTGTCTGTTGTTTGTGTGTTGGTGCTTTTGTTTACTTTTGGTGCCCTTCCGACCGTTATTTTTATTCATATAGATTTTAAAACATTTAAACACTCGTTTTAATATCGTCTCGCAACATTTTATAAGAAGATTCTCTCGCACGCCCCGTTTTACGCCCCATATCAGTCAAGTAAGTTAAAGTTTATTAGCTCAGTGTGTTTGCTATTCACTTCTCTCTCTGTTGTTTTAACCAATTTATGGCCGCTTTTGCATGCATATGGACATTTAACTGTTACTTCTAACTAATAAGCGCTGTTATTTAGTATTTGAGCTGAAATAGCTAGCATGCACGTTTAATGTTGTCTCCTGCTGATGAATTGCCTGTGTTGCTTTCGATAAACGTGTTTGTTGAATGAATAATTTGTGCTCAAATAAAATATTTTACCATGAAATGTAAATTAATTTGTTAGGAGTTTCTGCAAAAATATACTAAAGTAGCACAATGCTCTGCAAGCGTATTGTTTTGTCATTTGATCTGTTCAAACTGTGTGCCAGTGCTTTGGACACACAACTTGTATGCTAAAATAAAGCAGCTGTAAATTAATGGCTGCTTTGATATTTTTCAAGTAGGCATCTCAGAGGTAAACTAGTATGCTTTTTCACTTTAGTACATATAAGTAGTCATTTTAACAGATGCGTTTATCCAAAGTGACTTTTATTACAGGGATCATTCCCCATGGAAAAGCTGGGGTTAAGTGCCTTTGTTTGGGGCACAATAGGCATAGTTAATGAATCACCACCTATTGTGGGTATTAAACCTAGAAACATTTGGTTATCAGTCATTTAAGACATGTAACTTCGCTTTAGCTAACATCAAAATGTAATGTAAAACCACCCAGTACCTGGAGAAAAATTCTTATGTGTATATGTTTTGCAGGTTTTGTTTTGTAACGTGACATGCATCTGTAAAGGGGTTGTCAAGCTCAATAAAACATCTACAGCGGCTCCATGGAACCCAGTAATGATGTGGCGCTTGATATCATTGTTTCCAATGTCGTATCTGTCTTCAGAACCAGGTGCCATCTAAACCTGCGTACCATTGGCCTAGAGGGGTCTAATGTCATCTACAAACCTGAAATGGGAGTAAGTCTAAACAGTTAGAGCTTTGGAGATGAGTTGTTATACCTTAGCACCTATATTCTGGATTTACATGTTAGTATGGAAAGATTAAATGGTATTACCATGGCCTTAAAGGATTAGTTCACTTCCAGAATAAAAATGTCCTGATAATTTACTCACCCCCATGTCATCCAAGATGTTCATGTCTTTCTTTCTTCATTTGCAAAGAAATGTTTTTAATTTGTGTGATTTGTCTTTTCAATTTTTTCCAAAATGTGAAATGCATAAAGTTATTAAATTTAAAACAAATGTTTGTTTGATCATGTTTACTACAATAGGTAACTGAATGGTTAAATAGGTTGAATGGTTAAGCTTGATGAATATGGCTGATGTTATTTTTTGAAGACCAGCAGCTTTTCCTGCTATGTCAGTTCTGTTACATAATCGTTTAACACGTCTAGTGTTTTTTACTTCAAAGCATGCATTTTGTTTCTGTGAAGCTGTAATGGTACACCAACATGTGCTCAATATATGGAAAATGCTATCATGTTTTCACCTTTTGCCTGAAATCATCAGTATCAACACTATTAATCAGTATATGGCCAATCATTAATGCCTGTTGTTGCTTATGTTCTGTGGATGTTTCTCCAGAAAGTCCTGATGAAGCTGCGGAAACCACGTATCACTGCCTCTATATGGTCATCAGGGAAAATTATTTGCACTGGAGCAACAAGGTCTTACTAAAATCTGCTTTTCAATTCTCAGAATACTAAATAAGCCAAGAGTTATTTGTGCTGCTGCTGAAATTGTCAGTGTTCTAAAATTTCATGCATGTTTATTTTTGTTTAGTGAGGAGGAAGCCAAACTAGGTGCTCGACGGTTGGCCCGCTGCCTGCAGAAGATTGGATTCAAGGTGTCTAAATTGCTAATTGAGCTTTGTAGAACTTCTGAATGATGTATAAATGGGATTGTCTCATTTGCAGGTGAGGTTCACGGACTTTAAGGTTGTCAATGTGTTGGCAGTGTGCTCCTTGCCTTTTCAAATTCGTCTCATTGAGTTCACTAAGAATAACCGCCCTATTGCCAGGTAAGACATTATATTTCCTCTCACGGTGTTCTCAAACTACACAGAAATATCATTATACTTATGCATTTTAATAGTAAGTGCATTTGTTTTGTGGATGGCCAGTATTAATGAAAACAGGTAAGAGACAACCGACTGGCTTTGTAAACGTATAATTTGTGCTCGTGCTCATTTACATTTGGTATTAACATCCATTTTGGGACAACCTGACAACTGGTCAGTGCTAAATACCGGTTTAAACGATAAGTGACGGATGTAGTGAAGAAATCTGAGACCTTCCCTTCAATGAAATCCAGTCACAAGTGGTCACTGGAGGCACATTTGAGAAGCATGTTAATACCAGCTGTGAACAGTAATTTGTGTCGCCTGACCACTTGTGATAGGATTGTCAGAGACAGATGTTAACACCAGCTCCAAAGGAACATTGAGTCTAAAAATGAGGAACAGTGCTCTCTAGTGGTGAAATGGTGTATTGGCAATCTCAAAATATGCCAAGGAACATGTTCTCCTACAGCTGGATTGCAGGTCTCATCACTATATTTGTGTTTGTGTGTATTTTTAGCTATGAACCCGAGATCCATCCTGCTGCTTCATACAGGATTAAAAACCTCAGGAGTACAGTGCAGGTGTTTTCCACAGGCAATATCACTGTTACAGGTAAAATAATCACAAAACATTCGCTCAGTATCATTTTCACTACCATAATCAGTGTTTGGATGGAATGTACTGCAAACATCTGAACCGTTGAAGAACCTTTTAATACAAAGCCAGTTCATCATATTTAATGAATTCTTATGAAAATTACCAATAGGCATAACTTCAGTGTCAAGTTACTGATTTTAAGTGATTTTAAATTACCAAGGCTTCAGTGCTTGCCTCAATAGAGCTCTTGCAGATTACTGCATTAGTCACATACATTAAAGGGGTATTACTAGATTATTTAGCCACATTATATTAAAGTGCCCCTATTGTGCCATTTTTAAGATTCCTAATATTGTTTTGGGAGGCTCCTACAACAGGTTTACATGCACGCAAGGTCAAAAAACACTTTGGTTTTCTCATAATATGAAGAGTTCATTTGCAAAAACCGATAAACGCCACTTTTTAAAAAAATGCCCTGCATTATTCTCCACATATAGCGCGATCTGAACCCTAAACACGTTTTGTGAAAAAAGCCGGTTTTGTCCACTTTCAAGGCATCACGAGTTCACGTTTTACTGCAGAAGCCTACAAGCGCTCTTGTTGTTTTTGAACAGAAGCCGATAAGTCCATTTTAGTGAATCAGCGCAGTAGCCCCTCACTGCAGAACACAAGATCCAGGGGGCGTGGTTGGATCCACATCTAGGGGGTGGATATTGGTAGGTTTAAGGGTGGAGATGGGTGGGTTTAGTGATCAGGGGGTGGAGATGGTAGGTTTAGGTATATGTAAGATGGGAGGAGTTGGATCTGGATCCAACCACGCCCCCTGGATCTTGTGTTCTGCAGTGAGGACCATCTCAATCAGCTCGCTGTATTCAGGTCAGGTGACAAGGCTACTTTCACTTTGAAAAGACGTGCTAGTTGAGAGGAGTTTCGTCAAAGCTGACTAAAAGCGATCGAGGATGGATAATTTCGACGAACTTGATGACCTTTTATATCTTCTTCTGGGCGAAAAAGTAAAATAAAAGCTGAAACGCTTTCACGGAACCTTGCAAAAGCAGCGCTTTACAATGGTGAGGGAAAAGCTCTGTGTATTGTGTGTAATCACATCCATACAGTTTATGATCACAACAACAACAACAACGTTTGTCAGGCATCTACATTGTCTTATGAGAAGATTACAAAGATTAAACAAGTGTTTTTTAAACTAGGCATAACTTCAGTGTCAAGTTACTGATTTTAAGTGATTTTAAATTACCAAGGCTTCAGTGCTTGCCTCAATAGAGCTCTTGCAGATTACTGCATTAGTCACATACATTAAAGGGGTATTACTAGATTATTTAGCCACATTATATTAAAGTGCCCCTATTGTGCCATTTTTAAGATTCCTAATATTGTTTTGGGAGGCTCCTACAACAGGTTTACATGCACGCAAGGTCAAAAAACACTTTGGTTTTCTCATAATATGAAGAGTTCATTTGCAAAAACCGATAAACGCCACTTTTTAAAAAAATGCCCTGCATTATTCTCCACATATAGCGCGATCTGAACCCTAAACACGTTTTGTGAAAAAAGCCGGTTTTGTCCACTTTCAAGGCATCACGAGTTCACGTTTTACTGCAGAAGCCTACAAGCGCTCTTGTTGTTTTTGAACAGAAGCCGATAAGTCCATTTTAGTGAATCAGCGCAGTAGCCCCTCACTGCAGAACACAAGATCCAGGGGGCGTGGTTGGATCCACATCTAGGGGGTGGATATTGGTAGGTTTAAGGGTGGAGATGGGTGGGTTTAGTGATCAGGGGGTGGAGATGGTAGGTTTAGGTATATGTAAGATGGGAGGAGTTGGATCTGGATCCAACCACGCCCCCTGGATCTTGTGTTCTGCAGTGAGGACCATCTCAATCAGCTCGCTGTATTCAGGTCAGGTGACAAGGCTACTTTCACTTTGAAAAGACGTGCTAGTTGAGAGGAGTTTCGTCAAAGCTGACTAAAAGCGATCGAGGATGGATAATTTCGACGAACTTGATGACCTTTTATATCTTCTTCTGGGCGAAAAAGTAAAATAAAAGCTGAAACGCTTTCACGGAACCTTGCAAAAGCAGCGCTTTACAATGGTGAGGGAAAAGCTCTGTGTATTGTGTGTAATCACATCCATACGGTTTATGATCACAACAACAACAACATTTGTCAGGCATTTACATTATCTGAGGAGATTACAAAGATTAAACGAGTGTTTTTTAAACTCTAAAACATGAAATGTGGAGTTATGTGCTTTTCCTATAAAACTAATTTTTAATATGAAAAAAAAACATACTTTCAATTAACTTAAATTTGGTAAATTACCTGTATTTGTTTAAGTTATTATTACTTCTCTCATTTTTAATGCAAATATGACATTATTTGGCCTAACCCTACCTCTACCCTTACCCCTAACCATAGCCCATAATAAAGACATCTCAAACAATGTCATCTTTGCATTAAAAATGACATAACTGAGCGAATGACACTTAATGACAGTTGTCATAAATATGCATAAAAAACCTTCACATTCATGACCTGTATCATGTCATGATTATGTAGGTGTCATGTCATGATTATGAAGGTGTCATGTCATGATTATGAAGGTGTTATGTCAGTCTTATGCACACCCCTTCAAGTAAAGTGTAACCAAAAAAGTTATAGGTTTTTGCAAATGAACTCTTCATGTACATTTTAATTTCACTGCATTTCTTAGATTCGTACGAAGCAGTTGGAAGAATCAGTCTCTCTAAAGCCCTCCTTTGCGTGAGCCTACTCTGCTCTGATTGGTCAGATGACCCAGTCCTTTGTTATTGGTCTACCGCGTACAGCGTGTGTTGGAAACGAAACGCTCATTGCCATAACTGAATGTATAGAGAGAAAAGATTGTATTGATTTTACCTTATAAAGTCAAGGCCGAGTCCGATGATGAAACGTCTTTAGTTGATCAACCAGACACTGATTCGCAAGCATGACTGGAGCAGGATGTTTCTCAGTGGTTAGTGTTAACTTAGTTTGTGTTAGTTATAAGACGTGATCGCAGCGTCATTGTTATGGTTTATTTAGGTGCACGTGTGGAAACTGTATTAGAATGCCAAGCGAAGGTGAAAACCTCTGCTGCCACAAAGTACAACAGATATGCGTTTCTGCATTAGTTGAGCATTAGATGCCTATTTTATAGATAAATATGTGTATTTTGAACGATCCCTAGAAAATATAAACATCAATTATTAATCATACTTACAAGTCGAGTTTCACAGGAGCAATCTGGTCCAAATAAACTGGGTACTGAGCCATCCTTCAATATCAAGCGGTTTGTGAATCCTGCGTTGAACTCCCTGAGATTATAGAAGCAGTCATCAGTAAAATGATGGGAACACAAAAAAGACTGGGATTGTGCTGCTGTGGCACAGTGGGGAAAAAATGAATGTCAACCACTGATTCTTTGCAGCCTCTTCATTCGGAAGTGAAAATAAAATAAATTTACTTTCACAGCATCTTCTAGATATGATGTTAACCACACAAGCTACTGTGTCTGAGGGGTGGTTGTTAGCAGCCGGTCAACGTAGAACAGGTGGGCATTATGCAAATGTGTTACCCCGTGATGTGTAGCCGTCACGGAAGTGGGATTTGAATTAATGATTACTCATTTAGGCTATTTAGAGTCTATTCTTTTTTTTAAATCTTTTTTTTGGGGAGACAATAACTTTATTATTACTTTATATGCACTGTCAGCTTCACAACTTTGCAGATAATTTACATTCACAGACAGCTACATTACACACAGCATGAAAGGCAATATTCGAAATGGCATAATAGGGCCACTTTATAGGCAGCCCACAGGACTCAAGCTGTGTAGATCATGAAGGTCTAGAAATGAGCAAATATAATGCAGTAAGCTACAATGAGGCTCTGGTCTGTTTTTATTTGTTTAAGATTTAAATTTCTTTAATCATTTTATGATACTAATAAGTGTCTTAGTGTTCTTATATATGCAGGAATTATATATATATATATATACAGTGGGTACAGAAAGTATTCAGACCCCCTTAAATTTTTCATAGACCTTTTTAAGAATTATTTAATGATTTCTGCATGAAAACATTTTCACACAAATATACCCATGAATAATGAATGCAACCCACTGTTTAGTACCTACTTTCTTGTATAATGAAAAGCTGAACTAATGTTAGAGCTTATTGTTAATGACCATCTTTCCCTCTCTCTAGGACCAAATGTGCAGAGTGTGGCGTCTGCAGTGGAGCAGATTTATCCTCTGCTGTTTGAGTGTCAGAAAACACGGTCATAAACCACACACGCATATGTAGGCACCGGTTTGAAATGAAAAGCACCTTATCATTGAATGTTTTAAGGCTTGTAACTGTTGTACTGTATGTGTCTCCAAGGCAGCTTTTGCCATTTCACGTCCAAGCGGGTCTGGGTCGTGTGTTTTCAGAGTCATGCCTTTGAATGCTGACTTTGGTGTTCGGACCCCACAGCGATTAATGATGACCTCTTAAAGCTCAGAAGAGGACCATTAGTGCATTGACATTGTGTTGCTGACATTGTGTAGTTTATAAACACTTGAATTAACTATTATATAATGCATGGACACCAAAGTAAAAGACATTTAAGGATCGCATTTTACTGAAAGTTCTTGGAAATTTTAGCTAAGTTGATTCTAGTGATGTCTTTGCAACTCATTTAATAAGTCAGAAGCGAGAAGTTAAAGGGCAAACACTAAACATTTAAACAGCAGGTGATGTATATCTGGTGTATACTGTGGACAAGAACACTCTCGGTTGTGAAGGAGTCTTTGGTCCATATGTTTGTAATATGTTAAAACTTTTGTATTTTATAATAAAGTAAATAAAATAACCCCTATATTAAATCATTGTTTCCATGTCTCTGCAAGAGTAATATCCCAGCATAACTCGTATTTAGGCCCACAGGTCATTCACAAAGTACTGCATGTCCGCTGCCTCTTACTTAATCGATTTGTAACTATTTTTTCGTTAATTTGATTGTACTTTCATCTTTTATATTTTTATCATGTTTAAATTTCAACCGCACAAACATATTTAGGCCTGTTAATAGTCCACCTCTAACGCCCTTCATCGAAATTATGCTGCGTTCAAGTAAGGACGTTTGTCCTTACGAGTTGACAAGCGTTCAAGTCAGTTTAGTCGGCTCAAGATTGCGGTGTAGCTTCTTTTAATAAATTACAAGAAAATACAACAGGGTCTGTTAACTCTGCTTATAGAAAATGAAGAGCAAAGAATTCGCATCAGGTGCGTTTTTCATATTTTTTAGACCAGGATCCCAGTATAAGTATAACTGATTTTCAGCATCAACAAATGCTAAAATACAAAGATTAAAAAAAGCTGTTAGCTAAATGCAACATGCAACATGGCAAATCAAAAGATTTTTCACCTATAGGTGCAAAAATGATAGCATTTTTTTACTTGGATTTCATTAACTAGCTGCATAACAAGAACATGACCAATTTAAGTTTATAGGACAAATAAACTATCAATTTAAACAAAAATTTACCGTCAACTACAGACGTTGCACCATACGTTCAAGTCATGTCAGATAGATCGTATTTACGAGTTGAACGCACATGAACGCCACCACAAAGTCGTTCTTACGAGTGGGAAACTCGAAATCTTGAGCCGACTAAACTGACTTGAACGCACCTGACGTCGTAATTACGACTTGTCAACTCATAAGTACGAAAGTCCCAGGAGGACTTGAATGAAGCATTGTTTGAAATGCAGTCATAAGCAAATAATTTATGTTCTCAATTTGTCGATTATATTAAGAAAATCAAACAATAAATGTCGTTTGAAGCTTTTACGTTGCGTGACAGATCACTGTAGCCTTGAAGTGCTTGGCGTGAGTAAACCAATCATTTCCACTTTACTACTAAATACAGTGCGAAAAAAACACGAATAAACTTTTAAAGGGGGTACTATAACGTACAACTTACCGAAACGTATCAAGCCTCATGTATTCGCCCAATAAGTGTTTGAACCACCAGCGAGAAAACAGCTTGTAAAAAAACATGTCACGTGACGTCACATATACTTCTGGAAAGTCATTAAATATATGGTGGGGCATAGAGGACCTATAATAATGTACAGTATTTGAAAAATAATGTGCTTTTTGAACATTAAAGCATGTCAACATATTCTGTTACACCAAATAATGATCTTTAAAATAGCATCATATGACCCCTTTAAAAATGGTCCTGGCCCCTCCAAGCCTTTCAATGGGGGTAAGCGGGTGTTGGTTGTCAACGGTTCAGAAGACGTGAAATAAAGTGCGCGCATCCATAATAAAACGTTGCTCACACGGCTCCGGGGGGTGAATAAAGGCCTCCTGTAGTGAATCGATGCGTTTTTGTAAGAGAAATATCCATATTTCAAACGTAATAAACACTTTTCTCTCACTTCCTGTATTCTGTTATATGCGGAAGGACCGTTTTTTAATATAACTCTGATTGGATTCGTCTGAAAGAAAAAAAGTCACATACACCTAGGATGCTTCGAGGGTGAGTAAAACACAGGCTAATTTTCATTTTTGGGTGAACTAACCCTTTAAGTGTTGTCAAATTGGTAATGTTTAGCACACAAACACTAACATGTGGCTGGGCCACAGAACCTGGCTTTGACTTGCCATGGCATGATTATGGTCATGACTGCACAATTTCCAAAGTGTTTCATAACAGTCAGCTGTAAATATTCCATATAAATCTCGGTCAATACCAAAACTATTTAAAATATATATTTTTAAATGAATACAAATAAATCGTATTGACAAAAAAAACTCTTCTCAACTGAATCCATCATGCCATAGGAAGGTTTATTAAGCTAAATGATCACAATGGCAACATGAATCAGTTATATCTCTTCAATACTTTGAAATGTGCAGTAACAGGTTTGGCTGTCCTATTGTTTGCAAATACCCTTGTGCACTTCCACTCTTCATCTAGGTAAAGAGTCAAACCGTTGTGAGGGCTTTTTCCTCCTGTGAGGGTTGTGCTATAGCCTCGTATTTTCTTCTATGATGCAGCAGTCTGCTGTTCAGGTGATTCCTGCAAAACAAGACACGTGTCTGACCATTATGTTATGCACTTTAAAACAAAAAGTCGCTGATGCATGCAATATGGGACAAGTGCCAAACATTGTAAAATCATGTGTATGAGTGTTTTTGACCCTCACACGCTATTGTAAAGAAATATTTTGCCGAATGGGGTAGCTTGTAGAACAGGTTGCTGAAAAAACATTTATCATCCCAAGTGTCTAGAATATTCTGTATTTTCAAGTCTCTCCTTCATGGTAATTATGTGAATTTTTAGCCAAATATAATATATAAGATTTAAACAATGCATTAAAACATTCACAAATTAAATTATTTAATTAATATAATAAATGATTTTAATTAATAAAATTGTCTTACATGGCAAATTTTAATACATTTAATGAGCAATAATAAAAGTGATGCCTGAGAAAACTAGTAATTCAGGGTGACCGTACGTCTTCTTTTTTTCACGGACATTGGGATTTAAAATTGCCTAAAATAGCTGGTTTTAGCTTTGTTTTCCTATTAACATGCACTTTACAGTCCTCGTACATTATATATTTGGTATTTGCTTTGATTTATCCGTTCTCTGTAGATCCCACCTTCTTGCATGCCATAATTGGTTAATTATGTACAATGCTTTTAGTACTTACTTAAAAAGTAACTACTTTTTAGTCACTACCTTCAGCAAGTTTGAGGATAACAAAGCCAAAACTCAGACCTTTTAGGCAATTTAGAAATCCTGGCCAGAACATGTTTGGGGGAAAAGAGGACGGATGGTCACCGTAACTAATTAACTTAATTAGAGAACAACACAAGTCAATGGGATCATTAACACGAGAGGCATTTGTGTGTGTGTGTGTGTGTGTGTGTGTGTGCTCACTTCATGGCAAGCTCCTTAGAGATCTGTTCCAGCGATCGGCCTTTCGTCTCTGGCACAAATACAATCACAAACACCACCAACACGAAGCTCATAGCAGCATAGGAGAAGATCACGGTGGGCAGGCCGATCCTCTCTACAACCACAACACAGTTCAGTAAATCACCTCTGAAAAGCACTCCTTTCAGCTACAAAAACTGTTTTGTTTATTGTTCTGTGCAACGCTTTGTAAGTTTGTTTCTTTGAGTTTTCATTCCCTCTCTGCAGGAACATCCCCACAGGTGGCAAATGAATGTTTGGTGAACTGCCTCTAAACACACAATCCTAACTCAATCCACACTTAGTGATCAGTGTCTGAGAACAAAACTTTGCTTCTATTGTCAAATATTCTTTACAGCCCTCATTGAATTTGATAATTACAATATTTCATAAAACTTAGTCTGATGAATCTTTATAGTGTATAAGTTTCAAGTATTTTAATGCTATGAATCCCCAAATATTAAGATCCCTTTGCGAGGGACCACTTCCTAAAATATAAAGACAGTTAGATATTTTCATACATAAGGAGTGATACTGTGTAAAACAAAAAAAACAAAAAACAAAAAATAATGATATTGTAAACGCCTTATTTGCAAAATTAAATAACTGGCTTTTGTACTGTTACTGAAGCCAAAGCAAATTCTATCTATCTATCTATCTATATGATATGTAAATAATATATATATGAACAATAATGACATTCTATTAAGAGTATCTTTCTTTCTTTTTCTACCACCTATTATGTAATAATAAATGTTAATTTAATTCAAATGTATTTGTAGTGCCCTTTTCACAACAAATACTGTTCCAGAGAATGTTTACAGTTAACAATGACAGGCTTAATTTTTTTCTCAAATTTTCCAGACCCCCTTGCGGACCCCTTAAGGTCCCTGAACCCATCTGAAAACCTTTGATTTATATCATTTTAGATAGGCTAAGGCAACACTTGTAGGTTATGAGAACAACATGCTGGGTTAAATTCTAACATTAATAATCAATCCAGTGTTTTTCCAGAATAGAAACTTGAATCAAAACAACACATCCCTTTGACCCTGTTAGTTAATGATCTATGGCAAAATTAACTGTGCTCTTAAATAACTCATGGAGGGTCATTATGGTGTCTTGCTTGTAAGACTTTTTTTTAGAAATGTAATGACATTGTCTGTAGCACAAACAGTAAGAGACAGTTTTTGTATTAAATGTAATACTTAGGCTTAGGAATTTAATCAAACCACTAACTTGAAGTTTGAGAAAAGGTAATAGTGATGTTCACTAATTATAAAATTTTCCTCCAAATAAGTGTCAGATCAAGGACCCAGAGTACAGCAGTATTTAACTACATATCTAAACAGAGACAGCCTCAATCTTCATGGGTTTTATTGGATGACCTTCAGTAGCCAGATGCTGATAAATACGCTGCCTGCACCCTGCAATACGACTGGGTCACCATGATCTACTGATCTCATAGCAGTAAATAACCCCTTTCTGTGTTTGTATGTGTGTTACCTGTCAGAGTAAGGAAAGTCATCGATATGAGCAAATTTGTGGCCCAGTTAAAGGCAGAGATGACGGACACAGCCTTTCCACGGATGCCAGTCGGGAAGATCGCACTCAAAACCACATGAACCACTGCAGATTGATGATTAAATATAAAAATGAAAAATCTGCAACATATGCTTTTCATAGAAATGCAACATTAAAAGAATAGTTCACCTAAAAAATAAATAAATAAATAAAACATTTAATCAATCTCATGTTGGTTCAAACCTGCTTGACTACCATTCTTCTAAATATTTGAAGATTATTCTGGCCTCTCTTTTCATTATAGAAAGCAAATTGGCATTGGGGCTGCAAAGTTCCATAAAAAAAATATATTTTGAGTCAGAAGTTTTAAATGAATCGGCTTGAAAGATTTGTTCATAAAAAAGACTGATCCAGTTCTTAAGTTTAACTGATTCAATGATCCAATCACAGCAGTTAACAGGTCACTGGAGAGTAGTAGCACTAGCAATGTTCGAACAAATTGACAATAAATTCCTTCTTTTGAGACTGAATGTTTCAATGAATCAATCTGAATGATTTGTTTACAAATTGGACTGATATGATTCTTGAATTTCAGTTTACTTATTCAATTATCCAGTCACAGCGGTTAACAACTCACTGGATTTTATGAACCTTAAAATATAAAAAGTCCCTGTTTATTGCAGTTGCATGTTAAAGTTCTAAAACCTTAAAATAACTACATTATTCAAAATTGTCCTTTTGTGATCCAAAGAAGAAACTCAGTCATATTGGTTTGGAATGACATGAGGGTGATTAAATGATGACAGAATTTCATTTTTGGATGGACCACCCCTTAAAGGAATAGCGAACCCAAAAATTAAAATTTGCTCACCCACAGGCCATTCAAGACGAGTTTGTTTCTTCATCTGAGAAAGCTATATTTTGGATAGAGGACTCATATTTTAGCTGGAAGCAACAGTGAAGTTAAAAATGTGTTAATGATGGATTTGTTTATTACAAACATGCAGCATTAATATGTTAACTGATGGACTGGAGTTGTGTGGATTACTTGTGGAACGTTGTGATGTTTTTATCAGCTGTTTGAACTCTCATTCTGATGGCACCCATTCACTGCAGAAGATCCAGTGGTGAGCAAATAATGTAATGATACATTTTTCTAAATCTGTTTTGATGAAGAAACAAACTCATCTACATCTTGGATGGCCTGAGAGTGAGTACATTTCCAACTATTGAACTATTCCTTTAACAGGACGTTTTTGTTTTATGTGACAGTGTGAACAGTGACTGAATCTTACTTGGTCCCAAGCTGATGGAAAATCCAGCTACATAAACCAGCAAGCTGACCAGAGAGATCCATTTCAGAGAGGGCGACACCTCATTAACATGAAGAGACTGAAGTGCAATTTTGGAACTGTCTTTCTCAGAACCCTTAGCCAGTTCCATAAATATCCTATAATCATGAGTATAGTTTAAAATCCAATGGTCCTTAGTGTCATTAAAGAGGAAAACATT